TATCTCTGGTATTATACTGATATTATTACTGATATTATTACTGGTTATATTACTGGTTATATTACTGGCTATATTTCTGGCTATATTACTGGCATCACTGGCATTTCTAGCAATACTGGCATCATTAGTGGATTGATTCCTGGCATTCCTGGCATACTGGCATTATTCCTGGCCATATTCCCGATGCCAATTCTGGCATTCCTGGCATTCCGGGCCCTACTACTCGCGGTCTGACCGCGCCGGGCCACAGCTCCAGGGCCTGGGCCGAGCGTGGGCAGGCGAATACGTCGAAACATTGAAACAGTATGGATGGCAGGGCTCGTCCCGAGGACACGTCTGGCCCGTTTCTCGAGTTTCCCTCCCGCGGAATATAGTGCCGGCTGCTCTCTACTTTGCCCCCAGCATCGGCTCCCATTTTCCCACCCCCTCCTCTTGCCTCGCCCAAGCCAGCCTCCAATAGATCACCCATGGCGCCCACCGTGTTTCCCACGTCCCCCTGCAAACCGCTCTGCCTGTTTCTGCAGCGCTCTGCGGCAGTCCAGTCCTTGCGCCGCAGAGTTCTGTCTTTTCACCGGCCTTTCCCCCGGCCTTTCCCCCGGGCTTAATTCCACCCGGCCTCAATTTCACCCAGCCTTAATTTCACCCGGCCTCTGGCGCGCGGCCCTAGGCGTGGCCCCAAGCCCGCCCCACTTGGCCGAGGAAACCCGCCGCGGCGCGACAAGACCCATACTGGCCCCGCGGCACTCGCGTTAAACACCCCCAGCACCCTCAAACATACGCGCACTCCAAACCACCAAACCATACCAAACCACCACCAAACCAAAACACACCACACAACACAAAACACACAACACCAAAACACGCAAACAGCACAAAACAGCACAACACACAACAACAACACAAAACACACAACACACAACACAAAACACACAACACAACACGCCCGCGCCCCGCACCCATGAAGGACGTCTTGAGACAGATCTTCCACCCCCACTCGTTCAGGGGCCAGGCCCGCCAAGATGCCCCGCCCACCCGGCGGCCACAAAGCCGCGCGGCCCTGCCCGGCGCGGGCTTGCAGGAGCAATTGGCGCTCCGGCTCGCGTCCGCAGAGAACCCCGCGGTGGTGATGGAACTCGACATGGACGGGCGGCTTCTCTACGTCAGCAAGTCGTGGGAGCGGCTTGTCGGGACGCTGGTGGCGCAGCTTCTCGGGCGGCCCATCGGCAGCCTTCTTGTGGGCTCGACGGCCGCGGACTTGACGGTGTTTAGCGACGCCGTGACGCAGATGGCCGCGGACAACGCGTCGTACAAGGTCAAGTTTGTGACGGCGACCAACGGGCGGGCGGGGGGCGCCGGCGCCGAGAACGGTCCACGGGACGAGTCACATGATGGTTCGCAAGATGAATCACAAGACGGTTCCCAAGACGAGTCACATGATGGTCCATGGGGCGAGTCACAAGATGGTCCACTAGACGAGTCACATGATGGTCCATGGGGCGAGTCACAAGATGGTCCACTAG